ATATTTAATAATTATAATTTATTAAAAATAAAAATAATTATCATTTTATTTTATTTCTTATTATTTATTGTTTTTCATAACAAATATCAATTAATAAAAATAGAATGATGATAAAGAATAAAAAAGAAGAAATTAAAATATAAAAATAAAAGAACTAATAAAAACAACTAATAAATAATAAATCAATAATGAAATTAGGATATAATGAAATAATGATAACATCAATGTATTTTAATAATATTAAAGATTTTATTAATTTAGAAATAGGAATTAAAAGATTTCAAGGAAATATTGAACGATTTCATTTTAATCCAATTCCATTAAATCAATATTCAAGAAAATTGTTTCCTAATATTGAAACATTTCATATTTATAATGAAGATGATGAAATATTTAAAGATGGAATAATATTTAAACATGTAATATGGTATCCAGTAAGTTATTCAACATATTTAAAAGAGAAAGAACAAGGAAATATCTATAAAAATATAAAATATACAGAAGAAGATAGAGATAAATATGGGAATACAATACCATCAGAAGTTAAATTACTTGGATATCAGTGTTTTAAATATTGTTATGGATTAACAACAATTAATATACCATCATCAATTATTGAAATAGGATATAAATGTTTTAAAGAATGTTATTCATTAACATCAATTAATATACCATCATCAATTAGTAAATTAGGATATGATTGTTTTTATAGATGTTCATCATTAACATCAATTAATATAGATAATATACAATTTATTAGTAAAGAAAGAATATTTATGAATGAACCAGTGTTAGTTAGTATTAAAATACCAAAAAATCTACAAATAATCAATAGAAAGAATATTGAAAAGAAAGATATTAATAAATTTATTATTCCATCATCAATTACTAAATTAGATGATTGTTGTTTTTATAAATGTTCATCACTAACATCTATCAAAATACCATCATCAATTAATGAATTAGGAAATTGTTGTTTTTATGAATGTTCATCATTAACATCAATTAATATACCAACATCAATTACTAAAATAGGAGATGAATGTTTTTATGGATGTTCATCATTAATATCAATTAATATACCATCACCAATTAATGAATTAAGATATCGTTGTTTTAAAGAATGCTTATCATTAACATCAATTAATATACCAGCATCAATTACTAAAATAGGAGATTATTGTTTT